CTTTTTTCCCCCTTTAAAAACTAAGGTGAAATTCAATTAAAATAAAATACCCATTTCAAAGTGTGCGGTTCAGTGACATTTAATACATTCACAGTGTTGTGTAACTACCCCTCTATCTAGTTTCAAAACATTTTCACCACTCCAAAAAAGAAACCCCCACAGCAATTTAGCAATCAGTTCTCATTCCCCCAACCCAGCTGCTGGCAACTAATAACCCACCTTATATCTCTATGGATTTACCTATATTAGATATTTCATGTAAATAAAATCATATGGTATGTGGCATTTTGTGTTTAGCTTGTTTCACTTAGCAGGATGTTGTCAAGGTTCATCCACACTGAAAAATACTCCATTGTATGTATATACTATAATCTGTTTATCCATTCAGCTCTTAAGCAACAATTGGGATATTTAACAATGTTGCTGTGTATATTCATATATAAGTACTCATCTGAGCCCTGTTTTCAATTCATTCTGGCGTATATTAGTAGTGGAACTGCTGGGTCAAATGGTTAATTCTACATTTAAGTTTCTGAGAAATGTCCAAATTGCTTTCCAGTGTGTGCACGATTTTACATTCTCACCAGCAACAAGTTAATTTCTACATGTATTTACTGACACTTATTTTTAGATTATAGCCAATCTGGTGGGTGTGAGGTGGTATATCAAGGTGTTTTTTATTTTTTTTTTTAAGATTTTATTTATTTATTTGACAGAGATCACAAGTAGGCAGAGAGGCAGGCAGAGACAAAGGAGGAAGCAGACTCCCTGCCGAGCAGAGAGCCCAACGCGGGGCTTGATCCCAGGACCATCCCAGGCTTTAACCCACTGAGCTACCCAGGTGCCCCTATATCAAGGTTTTGATTTGTTTTTCCCTCATGATTGATAAATTAAGCATGTTTTCATGTGCTTACTGGCCCTTTGCATATTTATTTGGAGAAATGTTTATTCAAGTCCTTTGCCCATTTGTTAACTGAGTTATCTTTTTGTTGAATTGGAAGAGTTCTGGTAGTTTGGGGGCACCTGGATGGCTCAGTAGGTTAGGCATCTACCTTCAGATTAGGTCATAATCCCAGGGTCCTGGGATGGAGTCATGTATGGGACTCCCTGCTGAACAGAGAGTCTGCTTCTCCCTCTTCCTCTGCCCCCCATCCCTCCACCCCCGCTTGTGAGAGAATGCATGTGCTCTCTAATAAATTAAAAAAAAAAAAAAAAAAAGAGGGGCTCCTGGGTGGCTCAATGGGTTAAAGCCTCTGCCTTCGGCTCAGGTCATGATCCCAGGGTCCTAGGATCAAGCCCCGCATCAGGCTCTCTACTCAGCAGGGAGCCTGCTCCCTTCCTCTCTCTGCCTGCCTCTCTGCCTACCTGTGATCTCTGTCAAATAAACAAATAAAAATCTTAAAAAAAAAAAAAAAAGAGTTCTGATAGGTTGTATGCTTCTAGTACTCTCTCCATATTTATCTAGGTATAATCTAGTTTGTTGGTATAAAATTCTTCATAGTATTCTCTTATAATCCTTTTCATTTCTGTAAGTAGGTAGCAATGTCCTCACTTGCATTTCTGATTTTAGTTATTTTGCTTCTCTTTCTTTTGTCCTGGTCTAGCTAAAGGTTTCTCATTTTTGCTGTTCTTTTCAAAGAATGAACTTTTTTGCTTTATTGATTCTCTCTTTTGTTTTTCTATTTTCCATTTCATTTATTGCTGTATTAACTTTCATTATTTCCTTATTTTACTACCTTTGGTTTTTGTTTTGTTTGCTTTTCTAATTCGAACACCAGTTTTTAGGAAACTGATATGAGATCTTTCTTCTGTTTAAATTTTGGTGTTTATATTTTTAAGTTTCCCTCTAAGCACTGCTTTTGGAGCACTGCATACATTTTGGTAAATTCTGTTTTGTCTTTCATTTATCTCAAAGTATTTTCTAACTTCTCTTGTGATTTCTTCTCCAAACCATTGGTGATTTACTTTCCACATATTTGTCATTTTTTAGTTATCCTTCTGTTATTGATGGATAGTTTCATTCTATTGTAATCAGAACAGATACTTGGTATGATTTTAATCTTTTAAAATTTAAGATTCATTTTATTACCTAACATATGGTTTATATGGTCTGTTCTGGAGACTATTTGATTTGCACTTGAGAAGACTATTAATTCTGCTGCTCTTGAGTGGAATGTTCTGTAAATATCTTTGGTCTAACTGGTTGATAGCATTAAGTCCTCTTTCTTCACTAACCTTCTGTCTAAATGTTCTATCCATTATTGAAATGGCAGTACTGAAGTCACCCAACTATTATTATTATTATTTAACCGTTTTTAGCATTAAATATGATTTATTTGAGAGAGAGTGAGAGGAGAGCAGGGGGGAGGCACAGAGGGAGAGGAGAGAACCTCAAACAGACTTCCTGCTGAGCACAAAGCCTGATGCAGGGTTCCATCTCATCACCCATGAGATCATGACCTAAGCCAAAAGCAGTTGGATGCTTAACCAACTGAGCCACCCAGGCACCCATCTCCCAACTATTATTGAAGAACCATTTCTCACTTCAATTCTGTCAATGTTTCCTTCGTATACTTTGGGGGTCTGTCATTTGGTATGTATTTATGGTGGTTATATCTTCTTGATGAACTGGCCCTTTTATCCATATACAATGGCTTGGTCTTGTGTAACAATTTCTTAGAAAAATCTATTTTTTCTGATATTAGTAAAATCACCTCAGCTCTCTTTTGGTTACTATTTGTACACTTTCATTTTCAACATACTTGTGTCTCTGGATCTAAAGTAAGTCTCCTGTAGACAAAAAGTTGGATCATATTTCTTCCCCTTTCACTCTCTTTTTAACTGGTGAGTTTAACTCATTTGAAAGTGACTGCTGATAAGAAAGGATCTGCTTTGGCCATGTTGTAATTTGTTTTCTGTATGTCTTACATATTTTTTGTCCCTTGAATCCTCCAATCTTGCCCTCTTGTGTTTAATTTTTTTCTAGTGTACCATTCCTATTTCCTCCTCATTTCCTTATCTGTATATTTCAAAGTTATTTTCTTAGTGATTAACTTGGGGATTATAACCAACATCTTAAATTGAAAACAATGTAGTTTGCTTCAACATTAATATACTTATAACTGTTATTTTATGAATTTGTGTTTTAAATCATAAATGAAGCCAAAGGGAGTTACAAACAAAAAATAAAGCAATATTGGCTTTTATATTTCCTTGCATAGTTACCTTTACTGGTCTTTATTATTATCTTTTTTTTACTGGTCTTTATTATTATCTTTTTTTTAAAAGATATTATTTATTTATTTGACAGAGAGAGATCACAAGTAGGCAGAGAGGCAGGCAGAGAAAGAGGGCGAAGCAGGCTCCCTGCTGAGCAGAGAGCCGGATGCAGGGTTCGATCCCAGGATCCTGGGATCATGCCCTAAGCCAAAGGCAGAGGCTTTAACCCACTGGGCCATCTAGGAGCCGCATGGTCTTTATTATTTTTTAATTTCTTTGTATGGCATCAAGTTACTATCTAGCATCCTTTCATTTTAGCCTAAAGAACTCTATTTAGCATTTCTTGTATGGAAGAACCACAAGCAAGAAACTTTCTCCACTTTTGATTATCTGGAAATGTCTTAATTTCTCTTTCTTAGACTCCCATTAAACATCTGTTGGTATACTTGATGGTGTATCTTATGTATCTTAGGTTATGTTCATTTTTATTCATTCTTTTTGAATTCTGCTCCTCTGACTGGACAGTTATCAATTAATCTAAGTTCTGTGATTAATCTATCTCCCTGTTCAAAATCTACTATTGAACGGTTCCAGTGAATTCTTCTATTTCAGCTACTATACTTTTCTTTTCTTTTTTTTTTTTCCAGCTACTATACTTTTCAAGCTCAAGAATTCTTATTTGGTCCTGTTTTATGATTTCTATTCCTTAATGGGTATTCTCTATTAAACACATTGTTTACCTTGTTTCCTACAGTTCTCTGTCAACGGTTTCATCTAGTTTTTGGGCATATTTAAGGCAGTTGATTTTAAGTCTTTGATTAGTTAATGCAATGCTTGGGCTTCCTCGGGGATAGTTTCTGTTAATTTCTTTTTCTTTCTGTTGATGGGTCATTTATTCCTGATTATTGGTATGTCATACAATTTATTAAAACTGGACATTTGAATATTACAATGTGATCATTAAAACCAATTCTCCCTATTTCCCATTGTTTGATTTATATACCTTGTTAAGGACTACAGTCATCAATGTTCAGTAATTTTTTTCCAAAATATTTTTGCAAAGATTGTGTTCTCTGTCATGTGCCACTACTGAAATTTCTATTCTATTATCCACACAGTCAGCAAGTGACATGGCAGAGACTTCTTTAAATACTGGAGACAAAAAAGAATGAAAACGAAACAAAACAAAACAAAAAAACACCCCAATATCTCCTAACATTTGCAGACTGGCTCTGAGCTGGGAACCTCCTTTGATTTTTAGCTAGACCTCCTACGACTCTGCTTTAACTTTCACTACCTCCTCACATGGAACACAAAGATCAACAAGTGGTACAAACCCACTCAAGTCTTTTCCAAACATCCCTGGCCCTGGGCGTACTCTGGATTTCCAGGTAGGTGTGTGCAGTGGTCCTTCAAAGCTCCTATTCCTTGAAATGTCTTCCTTCTCAGTCTCCTCCCTTCCAGACTTTTTGGTCTGTGTGGAGCTTGTCCCATCTGTGCTCCCTTGGCCCAGTGGCAACAAGTATATGTTTTTAAATTTCTCTAGTAGATAACACCTGGGTACAATCTCCTCAACCCAATACTCTGGTTGAGGATAGGCTCATTGACTGTTGGCTCCTCCTTTGTACTCCTAAACACTGGAATAGTGCCTGATATTCAGTCCCTACACAATGAGTATAATTACTGCATGTAACTACAATGGCTGGGCAATACAAAGAAAGAAACAAAACAGAGTATAACAAAACTAATCTCATAATCTCAATTTTCACTTTAGCACTTACGTTCTGGTTGTTTTTCATTTGGTGTTATGGATCGCACAAAATCTTGTGGAGTCATGAACACTTCAGATTCACCAGGTTCATTGATTACTTTCAAGGTGGCAAAATATCGGAATATTTTGTCTGGTGTAGAATATGCTCTAATCCTATTCTCATATTCCATCACCTAAAATTAGAAATACAGAGTATTACTGTATTAAGCAATTCTCATTTTCATTTGTTTTCTATCTTGTTTCTGGAGATATATTATTACATCTTTTTTTCCATAACTGTATTTTTTTATATTAGATATAAACTTGAATTTCAAAAACTTATGAACCTTTCCCCTCCAATATACTATTCATACTCCAGTTGAGGCAATGCTTGTGTAACTTTTGTTCAGAATTTTCTGCAAGTAATTTCCTAATTTCTTAAATCATTTAAAAAAACAAAACTGAGAAGTGTTATACAAGAACAGGGTAGCCTATAGATTCTTAAATACCAAATTTTTAAAAAGGGACTGATTTTATAGTTTTTACTTTGATGCAATTTCTTAAATCCCAAAACAAAACGGAATCAGAAATTCATAGGTTTAAATAGGTAATAGTCTTTCAAACACAAAATACATTAATAGTATTAAAAAATAAAATTATATATCATGCAAACGGTTAACAAATCTGAAGCAAGAAGACTTTTACATTTGACTATTAGATTAATATTTTACAAACACCATATTTAGGAAAAAGCAGAGCTGGGAAGAACACAATATTTGGATAGTAACAAAATAAAATATGGTACACATTTTACTAAAAGAGTATAATATTAATATCCCCATTTTTTTAAAAGATTTTATTTATTTGACAGACAGAGATCACAAGTAGGCAGAGAGGCAGGCAGAGAGAGAGGAAGAAGCAGGCTCCCCACCGAGCAGAAAGCCCGATGCGGGGCTCGACCCCAGGACCCTGAGATCATGACCTGAGCCGAAGGCAGAGGCTTTAACCCACTGAGCCACCCAGGCGCCCCAATATGCCCATTTTTTAACCTGGCATCCAAGTTGTGATTCTGTGCATGGAACATACAAAACACTATACCTTCTATATAATATTCTTTTCTAAATATAAGAATGAGAGAAATCTTTTTTACCAGAATACTGACTACATAGTATTCTGGTGCAAAGATTTCTCTTGTACCTGAATTCTAGATATTGAGGTGGTAAAAATAAATAATATCTTATAAATAACTGGTGGGAAATGTGTCAAGGCAATACGATCTAAATATCTAATAGTTCAATGTCTAAAAGTCATTTGCTAATATTATGAAAAAATGTTTTTAATTTGCCATATTAGTACAACTAACACCGTAACTGCCAGTCCTGGCTAATTGGTCATTTTGAGGTCACTGACAACAGCTATTGTGGTGGTCTTAATCCCACTACCAGATGTACATTCAGTGACTATGAAAGGACTGCTAATTTGTAACTATACATGACAGGAAATCTTTCAGTGCTAATTTGCATTAAAATCTGAGTGCTGACTTCAGAGATTTTATCAAAATATTTGGCACATGGCAAATACACTAAGGAGCTTTTCAACCCTTTAGCAGCTTTGAAACTCAGCTAGGAGTCTTAACTCAAAGGCATTTTTTATTATATTACAACTACTTGCTGGATAATACTGGCTACAGAAGAAAAAACTTTATTTAGCACATCTGTATTCTTGTTCTTTTGAACAACAGCAATAAAAACATTCAGTTTGCAATGTTTAGGATATAAGCTATAGCTACCGCAGAAGATGTTTTTCTGAACTAAAAAGTTAAGTCAATCCTATACAAGATAAAGATAGAAAGACAACACGTTAAAAGTCAGTAATTTTCAGACTCATCAGATTCCTGGGTTGTTACAAGTCCCTAAATTATGTTGCTGAATATTATTAGTTTTAGTTTAAAACAACAGGCCAAAGAACGTAATAGACTTTTTGCATTCCCAATATTAAAGTTTAATATAGACATACTGTGCAGTACATATTTTACTTTTTTTCACTTAGCAATGTATATTGGAGACCGCACCATATTAAATGATATAAAGCTGCCTCCTTCTAAGTGGTTATATTCTTTTCTTTTTTTTAAGATTTTATTTATTTATTTTACAGAGAGCGACAAAGCGAAAGAGGGAACACAAGCAGGGGGAGTTGGAGAGGGAGAAGCAGGCTTCCCTCTGAGCAGGGAGCCAGGTGTGAGGCTCAATCCCAGGACCCTGGGATCATGACCTGAGCCAAAGGCAGACCCTTAATGACTAAGCCACCAAGGTGCCCCTGAGTGGTTATATTCAAAGGAAAGCTAGCAAACTATAAAGGGTTTAGAATACAGCATCTAAGGTAACAAAGGCTTAGAAGCTAAGATATACAGCAAACTGTAGGATTGAAATGGTTAGCCTGGAGAAAAGATTTACTAAGAGAATTATAATAGTTGCATTCAATCATTTACTTAAAACATTCTTGAACTTCATGATGTCAAGACAGTTCTCTTCAATAAAACTGCTGGTCCTGAAACCAGTTCTATGGTTTAATTTTGGTATAATGCCTGAAGAAAATCAAGGCTATAATATCTTGGGGCCAAGTGAATGCAAATGACAGTGAATCCCTGTGGGCCCTGATATTAGAAATCTTACAAAGGCTTTGAATGAATGCTAACTGTAGCCAGACCCTGGAAAAGGCAGCAGGCAGAAAGATTCTGTAAATAAATTAGTGTCTGGCACACTTTCTCTCAAGAGGTGATTAATAAAACCTAATTTGCACCCCAACAGCTGTCCTTTATGTTAGGAACTCCCTCTCTTTTTCACCTAGTTAATTATAGACCATCCATAATAACAATCTATCGTAAGATGACTTCTTGAAGTTCTATGAAATTCCAGGCTCAACAAGTCTTGTTAAATAAAAAGCCAAATTTTTTTTGGCAGCAAAATTAAGGAAACTCCCTAATTAGAGGAACAAAAAGAAAAGAGAATGAAAAAGAATGACGATAGCTTAAGGGATTTACAGCATCAAATGGACCAAAATGTGCATCACTGGGGTCCCAGAAGGAGAAAGAAATGAGAGAAAGAGGGAGAACACTTATTCAAAGAATTGATGACTGAAAACATTCCTAATCTGGGGAAAGAAACAGACATGCAGATGCAGGAAGGTCCAAGAGTTCTAAACAAAATGAATTCAAAGCAGCACATATTAAGACACTTCAGAGTTTTCCAGGAAAACAAAAAGCTGAAGGAATTCATCAACACTAGATCAATCTTACAAGAAATTTTAAAGGTAATTCCTGAGCCTGAAGAGCCAGGCTGACTCAGTCAATACAGCATGTGGCTCTTGATCTTGGGGTCCTAAGTTTGAATCACATATTGGATGTAGAGATTACTTAAATAAATGAACTTACTTAAAAAAAAAAAAAAAAAAAAAAAAAAGAACGTAATTCCTGAACCTAAAACCAAAAGACACCAGTATCAGGAAAACAAAAATGTAAAACTCACTGGTGAAGGTAAATGTATAGTTAATTTCAGAATGCTCTAATTTGGGGGGACACCTGTGTGGCTCAGTTAAGTGTCTGCTTTCAGCACAGGTCATGTTCCCAGGGTTCTGGGATCGAGTCCAGCATCGGGCTCCTTGAGCCTGCTTCTCCCCCAGCCTACTGCTCCACTTGTTAGTACCCTCTCTCTCTCTGACAAATAAATAAATGTATGTTAAGGAAAAAAAAGAATGCTCTAATTTTGTAATGGTGGTGGATAAATCACTTCTAACTCTAGCATGAAGATTTTAAAAAAGTATTAAAAGAATTACAATAAACTGTAACTGGATAAACAATGTAAAAACATACAGACTGTAATATTAAAAACAGAAAACACTGGGGGCAAATAAATGTAGAGCTTTTGTATACATTAGAAGTTGAACTGTTAGTAGCCTAAAATACACTGTTTAAGAGTGTTATGTAAGTCCCATGGTACTTACAAAGCAGAAACCTATACCAAATACACAAAAGGTGAAAAGAAAAAAAAACCCTAAGCACACTGCTATAGAAAATGATCAAATCACAAAGGAAGAGAACAAGAGAAAGAAAAGGATAACACTCAGAAAACAAAATGGCAATAGTAAACCCATATCTGTCAATAACTACTTTAAGTGTAATGTAATCAAAGAAACAAAATGGCAAAAAATCTCCCCCAAAATACAAAAAAAAAAACCACAAAAAAACCCCCACAACTTTATTGCATACAAGAGGTTCACTTCAGATTTTGGGCCACACACAAACTGAAGCAAAGTTGATGGGAAAAGATATTCTATGAAAATGGGAGCCAAAGAAAGCAAGAATAGTTATACTACCAAACGAAATACAGTTTAAGCCAAAAACCATAATGAGACAAAGAAGAGAATAATATAATGATACAAGATCAATTCATTTCTAACTAGTTATGTGCCTAAATATATAAAGCAAATGTGAACAGAACTGAAGGGAAAAATACACAGCAATACAATAACAGTAGGGGATTTGAACATCCCACTATGAACAATGGACACCACCCAGACAGAAAATAAATGAGGAAACACTGGACTTAAACAAAATGAATTTTAAAAGACATTTACAGAATATTCCATTCAATTGCAGCAGGATACATATTATTCTCAAGCACACATGGAACCTTCTCCAGGAGAGATCACATTAGGCCACAAGTCATAATAAATTTAAGAAGACTGAAATCATATTGAGCATATTTTCTGACCATAATGCTAAGCAACTCACAATTACAAGAAGAATACTGGGAAATTAAAAAATGCATGGGGTTTAAACAACATGCTCCTGAAAAACCAATGGGTCAACAAAGAAAAAGAAAAATTTAAAAACGTCTTGAAACAAACAAAAATGGAAACACAACATACCAAACCTTACAGAATGTAGCAAAAAACATTTCTAAGAGAGAAATTCATAGCAATAAACATCTATATTTTAAAAAATAAAAATCTCAGGGCACCTGAGTGGCTCAGTCGGTTAAGGGTCTGCCTTCAGCTCAGGTGATGATCCTGGAGTCCTGGGATCGAGCCCCGCATCGGGCTGCCTGCTTGGCAGGGAGTCTGCTTCACCTTCTACCCGCTGCTCCCCCTGCTTATGCTCTCTCTCGCTCTCACTCTCTTTCTATCTCAAATATAT